TTATAAACAGAGAATAATGCAGCTTTGTTAAGTGTGCAAAATGTCATTTATTGGAGCCCTTTCTAGGAGGGTTTGGGGAGGGAGCAGGCGGAGGGTGTGCTCCTCCAGAAGAGCGACAAGGGACGGATGCTGTCCCGGCCTCTACCCGCCAGCTCCCTCCTCCAACCCGTTTTATTTGTCTCGGGCCCTTTCCAAAGAGCCATTTAAGGCTCCAGCCTTTTGTAGCCCATTGCCAGTAAGACCAAGTATTTAGCACAGCCTCTCTCAGCTTTTTATATAGTGCCTAGCACTGATATCTAAGCATTATATATTTTTTTTTGCACAGTATTTCTGACTCAGTATTTCCTGCCTCCTTGACAATGACTGAGTAAACAGCAGGGCTGCCAGAGGAAGAGCCCTGTGTTTACAGAGCAACAAGCCCAAATGTGTCTTTTTTTTTTTTTTTTTTTCCATCAGAAGGTGGCGATGCTGAAATTAACCCTCATTTTTATCCCATGCTAAACTTTTGCCCTCTAACTTGCTGCTGACAGAGTCAGCCATGAGTCGGTGGGCCCAGGTCTGGGGAAAAGTTATTTGGGACTCGTCTTAAAAAAAGTGTGACGAACTCCCAAGGGATGAATTTTCGGCTGCAGCTGTCCGGGCTGGAGTGAGGGCTTAGATCCGATGGCAAAATGCTGCTTCTTGTCCCGCTTGACTCTGCTGCCCACCAAAAATGGTAGAGGATGGATTTTCCTCCTCTCCCATGGAGTGGCCAGTCCTCTTGGCTCTTCCAGCTTGGTCCTGGTCTTGGAGAGGTCTCATGTCTGGGCCAAGAAAGGGTAACATTGCATGAGCTATATCTACACCGAGATGAGGAGTGGACTTTCACTTGGGTGCAAGAGTGGAGAGCCCCAAGATAAAGGCATTTTCTGTTTCCATTGCTGGTAGGAGCTTCAGCCAAGCTTAGAAAGGGTCCAATGGGGGACGTCAGAGGGTGGGCTGAGCCGTGGCCCATCTTTATCATGCATGAACACGGGCAACCCCTGACCTACCCATCACACATGGTGAGGCCCAACGTGTTGAACAAGCTTAGCCTTCAGGTTTATGCCCCAAACTTGTGCTGTATGAGACCTCTTTAGAGGTCCCTTGGCATCCCCCCCACCTTGCTGCATGGTTTCCCAATGAACTCTTCTCCCAAACCAGGCAGCGAAGGGAGGTCAACCCTGCTACCTGGTGTAAACACGTTTTATTTTAAACTGTAGGCACTGAAGGAAGGTCACCCAGTAAACGCGCCCAGATTATATACAGGTCAGGGCACCCCCAAATTAGTAATACAATTCATGTTTAAAAATACAGCCAAACTGATGAAAGATAATTTGCTTACTGCCCTGACATCACCACCAAAGCATGGGGCAAGCCAATCCACAGGTTATTTTTATATAACTCCGTGAGGCATTTCCAGAGCAAATAAAGTTCACTGGGCAGGGCAGTGACCCGGCCGTCTGGTTTCAGCACTCTTCAGCCTCCTCAAGGCTTCTCCTTGGTGGTGTGGAGGCCTGTGGGTCAGGGCACGGTTCCATTGGATGTGCCCCGGGCACCCGGGACATGTATTTTGTTCTCTGCTGCGCCACTCTTCGCTGCTGGCCAGCTCTTCACCTCCCCCACACTGTTGGTCTGGCTCATCCATTTTGGTTGCACACCTTTGGAGAAGCGATTGAGCTGCTCTTCACGTTCTCCATGCCCGGCATGATGGGTTGCGGGTCCTGCTGGGAGCATGGCCGACGTGCAGCCAGGTGAATCACACCCGTAACTCCGTTGACGAAATTACCTAGATGACAACAGTGGTCTTAAACGTGGACACCCCAAGGGAGGTGGGACATCTCTGCATGGGCGGCGTTCGTGTTGGCTTGCCCGTCTGTACTGATCAAACCTGCTGTCTGAAGGCCAAATTTAAGGACAAAGATCCCCGGGCCACCTTCCTCGTGCGCGCTGTGACACTGGTGTAGCAGCGCCCTGGGGGGTCGAAGCAGATGGGTATCTCAGGATGCTTCAGGAGAGCTCTGGCGCTGCAAGTCCAGCTACCGTGGAGGTTCAGCTCCTGGCAAGCCCAACTCTTTCCTGTAGGCAGGCATGGTCCAAAAAAGGTAATTCCTACCTCTGGCAAGGTGCTTTTCCTACTTTGTCAAAGGAATCAGTAGTACCCCCCACCGTTGCAGAGTACATGCGAACGGTCTCATTTTGCGAAATTTGGCCCAACCTGAGGCAGCAAATGGAGCAAAATTATTCCTGTTGCGGTATCACATTCTGGGTCAAAATGTACATGGTGACCTCTGCATCCATCCCATGTTCCATCCCCCACTCCTGTCCTCCACAGGGGTCCATCAAAGTCTGCACAAGTTTTTTCGTGGCTTGGGGGTGTTGGGAGAGGAACCCAGTCCATTTTCTTTTGCAAGGGTCGTCTTCAGCTGCAAAGCTGGGGGCAGAGTGTTCGCTGATGTCTCTGCTGGGTGGCATCACCCACCGGGTGCCGTGGGATGAAAAAAAGAGGGTGCTGGCTGGTGGCATCCCTTCCTGCCCAGCTCCCATCCCCGGCCTGATGAGTTTGGTTTGGTTTGGTGGTTGTTTTATGGAAATTTTTTGTTTGGTTGGTTGGTTTGATGTTTTTTTTTACAGAAAATATTTTTTTAAAGAAAAAATGTTGAAGAGTCAGTTTTCTCTCTTTCAAGGCTGTGGAGC